TTTTGTCGACGCCGCATTTCTTGGGTAAAAGGGGGGAAATGCAACAGGCCCAGAAGTCCACACGCAGCGTACTCCAAATAAGGAGTTGACGCCTGAAGACAAAGCAGCTACTGAGGCAATAGGCCGTTTTCAGTACAAGCGAATACAAGCGAAGCTAGAGGTGACCTTTGATAAAAAATCTCTGCCTTTTCTCATTTAAATGCCAGCCAGTTAGCATGGGAACTAGTTGATTTATGCAACAAAAGCAGAGGGATTTATCGTTAGCATGGGAACTAGTTGATTTATGCAACAAAAGCAGAGGGATTTATCAAAACAAGGTCTCCTGCAGCCTTGCTGCCATTCAAAGGCCAGGTTACTAAATAGATAGCTGTTAAATGGTCTAATACCACACACACAAGAAAAAACACAAACCCTACTGAACTCCAAATACGTTTTATTCCCTATCTTATACCAAAATAACACACTATCTCTTTTCAAGAACTGTCTTCCTGTGTGACTTAATATAATTTAGCAACTTAGACAATGACATTCAATCAGTGTTCAGAAAGCATAAGGTAATGCTGTATCAAATTTGACATTGATTAGGTTGAATAAACAAAGGCAGAATGCTATGTTTTCTTTCTACAATTTGATTGGTTGTCTAAATTGTTCTGTTCTTTAGCATCTCTATGCAAACAAAAAAACACCTCAGCCTGAACTACAGCTTCAAGGTACCACTTTAAAAACAGTTTGAATGACTACACTGTTCAACTTCGTATCACTTTATAGACAANGGCATGTTTGCACACTCTAACTTAAGAATAAGACGTCCCTTGTATGCTATTTATTAAATTATTTATAAATAATTTGAGAACAAAATCATAATTCAATTGTCATATTTTGCAAAGTTTGTCCCAAGATACCTAGACTCAAGCAGTTTGTTTTGTGCTCTAAGTTGCTTGTAAGTAGATAATGCCAAATTATAAAGAAGTTGTGCCTGCCAATCAAAGTCTTAAATGTACCACAATGTGTAGTACTCAGGGGTCGATCCAGGATTTTTCTTAGGAGGGGGTGCACCACCGAGGAATGGTGTAACTGACTTGTAAGGTAAGCAAATTTCAAAAGCTAATACGAAGAAGAAGGCTTCATCTCAGGGGGGATGCACACCCCCTGCACCCTCCCCCTAGATCCGCCCCTGCTACTGTCTGTCTTAACTCTGCATTTCAAGAGGACTGCTCCCCTAAGGAAAAAGGTTTGTCTTAATTGGCATGAAAGTTGCCAATGAACTTAGACAAGAGACACAATAATGGCGATCGTGCAAGACCATTTGACATGAACCTCCCCAGGCAAACACGGAAAATACCAAAGTCACTGTAATCTTACTGACATGTACACGATATCAAAATTATTTGGTTTGCCATGAAATTCTTTACCAGATTG